TTATCTATTCCTAGCAATATCTCATAACTCCTAAGAAGTAGCCCAAGAATCCGATCTTCAAACTACGCGATAGAAATCCATCTACGCGATCAGATTCAGCATATTCTTTCTTTAATTTTCTTCACTTTTCATTGATTTTTAAAACATCACCATGTGACCCAGTCACATCATGTATCAAGAATCTCAAAATAGAAACTTAGCAGAGTTAAATAGTGGACTTTACCTGAAGTAGAGTCAAACTTATTAACTTTAACATCCTTAGGTAAATTTGGCAGCTTCGTAACTAATGACCCTTCCTTGGCAATATAAACATATGGACCCTTTGATAATGGTACACAGGACTATCACATACTTAGCTTTTCTCTTTACCATTTGGTCAACCGATTTGACTATGGCTGATCCCTTTCCACTGGGAAGAGAGATCTTTACTAGATATCCAATGCCATCACTGTCAATGTCCATAAAGTTTTAAGAAGTTGATCTTATAAAATATATAAGATCATTAAGGGTCTTGTTATAGTATGTTTCATAGGTGTTCCAAAAGAACTCACTATGTGACTTACAAAGTAGTTGAATCACCAACTTTCTCAAGACTTTGACACCCTTCTCTCCCGGCTTGTCAATATGTGACTACATCTCCAAGATGTGATCACACCTAGACCTTGCCTTGCCAATAGGGCTTGAGTGACTTTGAACTTGTGGGTTAGGGAGAATAATTTGAGGAGGTGAAAGAAGTATGATTTCCAAGGGACATCATCTTCATTTAGGAAAGCTTGTTTCAAGAGATTTGGGAAGATCATAAATGTCTAAACCAGACACGTTTTGGGAGATATTCAAGATAGTTGATCTAAAGTCCTTAATATGACACCCAATCTGAAATATTAAGGCTAGGACCCAACAAACTATTTTATAACTTAAAAGAGGGATGCCGTAATCCAAGCTATAAAATATTTGAAGGTAGGTGAATGACGATTCACCAATTTCCACCATGAAAAATGAAATAATAATTCGGTTATAATTGGTTTTGAAACTCCTAGATATTTGAGATTCATTGAACTGTTCAATGGCATGTTTCAATCTCGAGTGTGCCCTTCAGGTTTTGTGACTGGGATGCCGAGGATCACAAAACAAGGTGTGAAGTAACAATGCAAATTACTTGGTACCCTTAAGTGTTTACCCCTCAATCGATGTGCCAGTTAACCACACACGCTCCATCGATACTATGATAAACATTAAGTTACCCTTTGCCTACCTTGTTAAATACGAGTTAGTGTGTCGGTTAACCACACACGCTCCACTAACCGACTTAACCAAAGTGCAAAGTGTAATTTCATGGATTAGCACCTTATTGACATTTTCCTAAGTAACTAAGATTGGGTATTATTAAGAGTTTAGTTACTTAGTATTTATCATTAATACTTTTAATGAAGGGAGAATTATAGTCCTGTCAAACCTGTTCGGCTAACGACCCTCCACCAGTCAAGCAAGCGGTGGGTGAGAGTGGACACCCATTAAGTTGCCATTTTATAGGCAACAACCTTATACCCACCTTATAGACCAGCTTCGTGAATGAGGCGTACTAGCGGTAAGCCTGACTTTACTCTTATACATATATATATTATTAACTTATAATATTATAAACTATAAGGGTTGAATTTTAACTTTTAAAATTCTAAGGGCTAACTTGGAATTAAAGTATTTATAAGATAAAACTTTACAAATTCCAAAACTTGAGGGCAAGTTTTGAAACTATTCAAAACTAATTAATTACATAACTTATGTGTTTAAAGTAGTTTTAATCCAAAAACTCTTCAAGTTCCATAACTTGAGGACAAGTTATGGAAGACTTTAAACTAATAAAAGAATTAACTTTTCTTTATTTTATAACTTATGGAATTAATTAAGGTTACACTTTTTTTTTTATTTATTATTTAATGAAGAGACTCTTGTTCCTCCATAACTTGAGGACAAGTTATGGAGTCATAAGACCATTTAATCAGAACTAGACTTTTTCATTTTTGTAACCTTTGCCAACTTTTTTGAGTTTTAGGAAACTTAAATGTGACTTTTCATATAACTTGAGGACAAGTTACAAAAAAAAATTTTAGAATCAACTCTTAGATTAATTTGGATTGAAAACAACTATTTCACTCAACTTTCCTATTAATCTAAGCAACTCATAAGAACAATATAATTCAAATCAAACGGTTTTCATGTAATTAGTCTAAACCTTAAACTAATACAAAACATGAATCTATTGACAATTATCTTTGAAATTGGATTAGCATGAACATTACCACGTCAAAAACAAGTTTATAAGTCCAAAAACATCTTAGGGTAATGTTCCTAGTCCAATTCCAGCCAAAAAAGTCGAATTTATGCTGTCTGGGGGTCCAACTTGTCGAGTTCACGAACCAACTCGGCGAGTTGGATGCTTTTTGCCTTGGACTCGGCGAGTCCATTCATGGACTCGGCAAGTCTGCTGGGCAGACAGCATCAAAACTCGATTTTTGAGCTCCATTTGCAAGTATAACAAGAAAACAAGCCTAGGCTCTGATACCACTGTTGGGTTATGAGCATTCTAACACTCCTAAGTGTACATGCAACCCTAAATACCTTGGATCTATGTTTTCTCTATTATACATGCAAATAAGAACTTTCCAAGGTATTATCCTAATCTAGCATACAAAACAATGAATGTAACAAGATAGAATACATACCTCTTTGATGTAGGAAGTCTTCATGAGCTTGAGTGCCTAGTTCCCCAAGTGTGACACCTCAAAATGGTTCACACAACACCAAATACACTTGGAATAACTTGAGAGAATTCTACACTTCATGAAAATCGGCTATCCCTCTCTAGAAAATACTAGTCGCCGATTTTGTCAAGAATAAAATCTTTATATAGTGTTACAATTAGGGTAAACCCTAATTGTCATGACTTTCCATTTCCTTGGATCCATGGGTTCAAATACACCATGGAGCATCCATGGACCATCCTATGGGTTTTAGCCCAACTTGATTATCCATGGAGCATTAGCCCACTATACAAGTATGGATGGTTACACAATCAACCCATATATTTAATTAGTCTTCTTTTGATCACTTAATTAATCCTAGATTAATTCTTGATCAATACTAATTAAATAATCATATTATTCTTATTATTAATATACTAGAACTTATAATATATTAATAACCATAAGTGTCTTATTTCTTTCATTATAGTCTAACCAAATGCATGATGCCATGCAACCCAAATGGACCATGCCGGGTCGGGTCAAGTCTTACCAGTTATAGTTATGGACTTAGACATTAATCCAACAGTATCAATAAAAAGGTCCTATATGCTCGATCAACTTGACTTGCAACAAACCTTTCCCTCAACAACTCCACCTCTTCATCTCTTTGCACAACAATCACAAATATGCAAAAACAATAAATAAGCCTCCTCATATATATTTTCAATAATTATATATTTATATATCAATTCTCTAAATAATGGCACAGGGGTCCCAATTCCGTTGCTAGAAGGTATCATCTCCTATGATCTTTTGGCCTTTCCTACATCACAGAAGGAAACTTGGTGAGGCAAAGAAAGCTACTTTAGTACCTGTAGCAGACAAATTGGAAGGGTAAGAATTTAATTTTTCCATTCCAAAAATGTCTCAACAACAATTTATTTGGTACTACGATGGAATGGAATGGGATTAGTCATTCAAACATGTAGTTTGTTATGTACAGTTGAAAAAGTAAATGGAAGGAAGAAATATAATTTTTATGAATATGATATTAACTTTAATCATATAAGATTATCGCTTAATAAATAATTGTCCTTTGTGTTTTTTGTAGACTTACTTGTAGATAGGTAGGGATGAGCATATGGACCGGGGAACCGGCGGGAACCGATACCGGAACCGGAACCGGCACCGGAACCGGATCCCGATGGAACCGGTTGGGCCGGGACCGGGACGTTATTTTTGTTGATTTTTGGAACCGGGAACCGGTAGGAACCGGAACCGGTAGAACCGGCAAAAACCGGTAGAACCGGTAAAAACCGGAACCGTATGATGCTATTTTTCGAGGGCCGGTTCCAACATTTGAAGACACGATAAGAACCGGTAGGAACCGGGAACCGGTGGAACCGGAACTGGTAGAACCACCGGGCCGGTTCGGTTCTTGATTTTGGCCGAAGCCGGTTCCCGGTTCCGGTCCGGTTCGGGCCGGTTCGAGCCGGTTCGATCCTTTTTCTCATCCCTATAGATAGGCATTGCCCTCACCAGATATACTCTTTGCGATTTTCAATCCTTACTTTAGCTTGACCTGTGTTAATCAATCATAAGACACATATTCCAATTATGAGGACTTATTTTAGAATGTTCTAGAATCAAGAATAATTACCTTTGTTATTGCCAATCTTAAGCAATTGAAGTTATATATAGTGGAGAAGATTCATCCATCCTCCCGTCTGAACTTTGAGGTATATTTTTGAAAATTTTATATTTATGCTTATGAATGCCAAAATCCAGCAAAAATTTAGGACTAGATCACCCTGTGTGTGGATTCCTAGGAATGGACCACAGTCCAAATCCAAACCTAATAAATTAAACACGAGAAGAAAAATATTGTATATTATAAGTTTATTATTTTTACTTATTTATGTAAACTGAAATATTTTGACGATAATTAACCTGCTTTGATTGCATCTGCAGCAGCTTCTTCAGGGGTGGCAGTGTAGTGTTGATTATCAAAGAATACTCCAACAGAGTCGCAATTTGAAATTATGTACCCATTGAGTCCCCAAGCCCCACGAATGGTGTCATGAAGAAGTCTAGGGTTAGCACAGGTTGGAATCCCATTGACTTGATTGTAAGAGCACATAATACTTGCCACCTTCCCTTGCATCACACATTCTTTAAATGGTACTTGAAATGTATCTTTCATTTCCTGCTTGACCCACGAATGGTGTCATGAAGAAGTCCCCAAGCCCCACGACATGTTTACCTTGGCATTAAAATGGAAGCGATCGACCCCACTCCAGTTATCAAGATCGTAGGCAGTGTAGTGCTTGCAACACGCAGCCACCTTGAGGTGATCACCGGGGAGGTTGCCCTCCAGTTCTCAGAAGTTCCAAGAAGTCTAGAATGGAACATTACCTGAAAGAATTGTTTTCAAACTTAATGAGGAAACAATATCTATGATATACATGATCATAAGATTTAAAATGTTTTATTTGCATAAGAACCTAATGTAATAATACCAAAATGGTCAAGTACTTGAAGAAAAAGAACTTACAGTATCAAAGGGTACATTATCTATTCCCATAAACTGATACAACTCCACATTTTCAGGATTCTTCCACCACTTCTCCCACTCAGGTGTGTAACATGAAGTGATTGAGACATACCCGATTGGTGCATCAAACCAAACATAGAAAACCTAAACATTACACACAGTGGAACAAATTGTAAAACTATACTTATATGTGACACATAAGATGGAGGTCTCATTTTGACTTTATAATAGAGAGAGAGAGAGAGAGACAGACAACTTATTTCACTCACTTTGTTATTGAATCTCTCATGAAGAACAGGAACCCCCCCCCCCCCACTTCAAATATCTAGTAATACATCGTTGCTTTAATCCTATTTTAAGCCATGCATTTGCTGCTTGAATAGCATTCTGACTCCATGATCCAACCACTGACATTTTTTTGATGTACTCTTCAAGTCTACCCTCCAACAATGGAAGCTCAAGAAACAAGTGATTTGTGTCACGGATATGAGGATTGGATGCACAGACCTAATTGCATACCAAAGTTTGGAGACATGAAAAGGAATAGAAAGCAAAAAATGTACAAAAGGATTTTGTTTTGATTTATTCACTACATGAAACTTAGCACTTTTTTTCTTATTCACTACATGAAACTTAGACATGAAAAGGAATAGAAAGCAAAATACTACTAACACTGGTTTGCTGAAAGTTTCGGTTTCCCAATTCAAAATTGGGATAACCTCCTGGAATATGTGAGAAATAGAGGGATTGAAGTTATAAATGTTGGAATAATTTCAGAAATCCAGTTGGATCATTCCTGAATTATGCATATAAATCAAGGTAACAGTCAAAAATATCATTAAGATTGGGAATTAGGGTTCTTTCTAAAGAGGCGAGTTAGGGTTACTTTGAGGAAATTGGGGAAATTAGGGTTAATGAGTGATTTGTGCATCAACGGTAAGAAAAAAAAGAGGAATTTGCAGATAAAATAATGAAATTCGGATAAATGCATATCGACATACCTTATTCATTAAAAATGGTCTGATCCATAGAAAGAAACAAACCCCCACAACAGCCAAGAAGATAAACACAAGAACAAGCTTCGACCACCACCAAAGAGAGCACCAAAAGCCACCACCAACACTACTACAACTCCTCGACGATGAGCAAGAAGAAGGCGGTGAGCAACAACCGTCGCCGCCGCGGACATTACTACTTCTCAACCACGCCAGTTCCTTCAAAATTACGTAATCATCCTTGGGATTTTCAATCACGATCTTCAAAAGGGTGACTACATCTGCTTCCTCGTACGTCAAAAGGGTGACTACATCTGCTTCCTCGTACGTCAAAAGGGTGACTACATCTGCAAGTAGCCGTTAAAACTGGTCGGATTAAATTGTGAATTATCCGATAGAGATAGAGGAATCAGAAAACAAAACTATCAACGATGGTTGAAGTGAGAATGGAAAGCAACGATGGTTGAAGTGCGAGGGAAGAAGCAGACGGCAGTCAATGTTGGGAGGGGAAAGGAAGAGCGTCGATAATTAGGGCAAGAGGGAAAGGAGAAAAAAAAAAAGGCGGGGTTTTTAATTTTTACGATTTCATTTCCCCCTGCAATTAAAGGATGGAACACGCATTTCCATTAAAATTTATAAAGCGATACCTTCAGACGACACACGTTTTATTATAGGCGCCCTCCGTGGTTTTTTTTTTTAGACACTAATTTAAGGGCACATAAAAATGTGTGTCCTAAATCCTTAAAATTTATACAGAGATGATATTATTTTTAGGTCACACACTTTTGCGTATCATAAAGTGCACGTCGTAAAAGGTTATTTTTCTAGTAGTGATAGTATGTTTGGATTGATTACGAACACAAATGAAACTAATAAAATTGTTAAGATTACAAGATCTCAATATAATCTGGTTTGCTCATATTCAAGTATGAATGAGTACTCAGGAGTTCAAGAGTACAAAAGATAGAATGACATGTAAAAGTTCTTACTCTACTCTAGTATCTATCCTATTTATAGCATACAAACAAACTTACAAAAAATTACAAGGATTGAACGTCTAAGTTTCGAATACAACAATGTTTTGTAAAATAGGTAAAGAGTCCAACTCGAACTAGTTTCGACTCTATAGAGACTAAGACCATTTCTACACCTCCCTATAACATTTCAACTCCTACAATAAGAAATCAATCATATGATACAGGGGAGATTCGTAATCTAAGTGAAAGCACTTCAAACATGTTGTTTAAAAGATCTTATTCATTTTGTTTGCTAGTTATTACTTCTTAAAATTGATACTTTAAAAACTCTATTTTTACTTTCTATCACTAGTTTAATTAAATAAATTTATTTTTTTGAATCAAGTCAGGTCCATTATTTTAAACTATATTATTTCATTATTAGACAAACTCTCTATTATGTTAAAACTAATTGAGATTATATAAAAATTATAAATTTAAAACTAGTGGATAATCAATTTACTTTTATGGTATTGACGTCTATAGAACCCCCCCCCCCCCCCCCCCCCCAAAAAAAAAAAAAAAAAAAAAAAAAAAAAAAGTAAGTCACGAAATGATTATTCTTTTCCTAGTACAACCTACCTTTCTCTTTTCTAATTTAAAGTATTCTTCTTTATATTATAAGTACTAAAAAGTTTCTTATCATTGTCGAGCATTAAACATTTTACACACTATTGGGACAAAAATTAGAAGTTAGATGACATACTCGCTAAAAAAAAAAAAAAAAAATTAGTAACCAAACAAGAGGACTTAAAAATGGTCATCATATATATAGTATTTCTTTTCTAATTTAAATTGGTCGATCCTAAATGTGAGTGAAAATAATGTGTTTGGACATTGATGGAATTGAATAAAATAATTCATCGCATGATATTTGTTATACACGTTTAAATAATATAATTCATCAAAAGCAGTGAAGGCCAGCGCAAAAAGACTCCAAAGTTGAGCATCGACCTTCTTTTACCCATTTAAATCGAAGTAATTAACAACCATGAAATTGGTGATCACTAAGAAGAAATCTGTTGCATTAGTTTGGTCACAGCCCAGGAATCTTCCCAGTTCATCATCTGTTCTTCCAAAAGGTCTGTAAATCAATTTCTTCGACTCTTTTACAGAATTGGCCATCTATTTTCTTTAATCTAATTCTTCTAGGATTCCAGGTATAAGAATTGGAGTTTACAAACACATGTGTATAGTAGTCAAAATTTTTAGGTTCAAGATTAGAAAATTTAGAATCGTAAACACCAAAAGATATTTATTATGCTCCATAGGCTTTAAACACTTATCATTTTTGTTACATCAAATTTTTCTTAATCTTTATTTATCAAAAAGATATTATTATAAACCTAAAAGGTTGATTGTTTTCAAAATCATCTTCTAAAAAATGAACTTATTTATTTTTATCTTGCACGTTTTATTTTTCAAAACTAACATTGGTTAATATTATTAATTTATTAGGTAAAAAACGTTAAACTGATATGTAATGATAATGTTTTTAAATCTTTGATATGTTAATCGTTTTCAAAATTATTTTTTTATGATGTAAATTTCTATAAAGTATATTTAACTTTATCTTCTTTATGTTTAATTAAATAGATTAAAGGCAAAAGTGCACAAATAATTATTGTGGTTTGTCCAAAATTATCAATTTAGTCCAAGAAATTCTGGACTAAGATTATCGCTCCAAAACTTTGATTTTGTTTGATATAAAAAGATTTTAATATTATTTATAATGACGGATTTACAATTTTCTATTTTATTTACTTAATTTCTTTTTATTGCAAAAATCAGAAGAAGAAAAAAAAAAGGAAAATTCACAACCCCGATCCATTAGGGATAGCAAATCGGGTCATCATGTCGTGTTTTTGTCTCATACGACATTACACGACAATGTTTTACCGGAGGGAAATAATGTGAAGAATGAAAAACAAGTTTAGTAGCTTGGAAAGAGAAGGGTGTGTTTGGTAGAGTTAAGGTTGTGTTTATTTTTCTTTTTGGTTTTTGTTTAATTATTATAATAAAAGAAATTTGAAAAACATAAATAAAAAGGGTAAATCCATAATTATAAAATATTTTTAAAATTTTGGACAAAACTAGAAATAAAATCAAAGTTTTGGACCTTGGTGTTAGTCGAAAATTTTTTGGACAAAAATGACAACAAAAAAAAATATTTTTGCAATTTTGTCTAGATTAAATAATAAAAGATAGCATCTAAATATATGCAATATAAAATGTTATGAAATGAAAATTCCAAAAACGAAAAATAACAAAAGGATTAAAATTCGGAGTTCCCTAAATGGTTGTAAATGTTGAAAATTATATTTTGTATGATGTAAATTTCTATAAAGTAAATTCAAATCTATTTTTTATGTTGAAATAGATAGATTAAATAATAAAAATATAATATCCAGATATAATAAAGTTGTAAAATAAAATGCTACGAGATGAAAATGCCAAAATGACAAAACCTATAAAAGGATCGTTAAAATGTTGAAGTTTACTAAGTCTGTAGACCATCTCTGCAACCTTTTGTAGCAGCAGAAATCGACAAAATAACTGAAGACTGTAATCAGAAACGTGTTTGTTTTTAACATCTGCATGCTGCTGTAAATATTAAAAAAATAAAATAAACTTATTTTATATAACGAAAATAGTTTTTTAATACCCGAAATTTAATAATGTATGACATTTCAGCAAAAAATATAATGATTTTTCAACAAAAAAATAATAATGATATTTCAGCAAGAAATTATCATTATTTAATATAAATAAAAACGAAAAAAAATCATTTAGCAAGAATAAACCAAAAAAAAGGTGAAACAAGAATTCAACAAGATTTAAACAACATTTAATCAAGATTTCAACAAGAAAAAAGAAAAAAGTGGTTGAAAGAGAGAATAAAACAATTGCCCCAAATAGAACACACAAGAGGTCCGAAGATGTTTTTTTTTTTTACAAAAAACAAACAACATCTCCGTAATTGCGGCTGGAGTGACTTCTCAAAAGTGAAGTATCATCTCCAATTGTAAGAATTAATTCAAAAACTCATTCAACTTTTACATAAAAGTAACATTAATGCATATGAGATAAATTATGATAATAAGAGATGATTCTGTTGTTCACTAATCATGATTAATGAGATTAGAACAATTTCGAATTTCAATTACAAACTAGCTGCCATGCCTTCTGTGAAACAATCATTATTAGGCTAAGAGGTATGCATGTGATGACCACCACAATAAATCTGATGTGGATGTAGTGTTTGTGATGAAGATCGCCCTACCATTAAAATACATTTGTACCTCTATAGTATAAAATAAATGCACCACACCCAACCCTTTTTGTATCTATTTTTCTTTTTCAACTTGTATTATACAACCGTGTATAATATATCTAATTAACTAGGTGAGAGGTGACAAAAGAGGAAAGTAAGGGAAAATGATGTGACACTTATGTGGTTAGTAATAAAATAAAAGAATGTTCACTTTCTTAAGGAATTAGACTATTTTCGATAGCAATCTGTCACAAACAAATCTTTCATTAAAATCTTGTTTTCTCACTTTTCCACTTACACAACCAATAGTAAGGCTATCGGGAGTGGATCCAACATGTAGCTCGACGTCATAGCTCCGTAAACACTGGCTCTCTGCATGTCAAGCTTTGGATCCCAATTCAGTAGAAACTTTCCATGTATCGCTCTTCTCTCTCTTATCTTACCATGTCACACTCCTATTTCTTTTCCCTCTCTTATATCTCTTTCTGATTCGGGTTGGGTGTCTTCGAGTTGTTTAAGTTAGAATAAGGGTGATGGATCAGAAGTATGTAAGAGATGGAGGTTCATGGATGGTTCTCGGTAAAGGCAAGGACTATGTGGTCAGTGTTCTCAGTGGTTAGTGATGGAGAAGGTAGGTACGCAGATCAAATTTCTTTTCTTCTTCCTTTTCTTTTTCTGATTCACATTTGGTGGCGTCGGGTTAAACATGTTTAAAGTTGAATAAAGGTGGTAGATTGGAAATATATAAGAGATAGTGGTATGTGGGTGGTTGTATTAAATGAAGATTTAGGAATTGTTTTCAGCAAGTGGAGTTGATAATGAGTGAGTTCCGGCTAAGATAGGGCATATGGAGATGATGTTAACTGGTAGTGGTTTATTGTTTTGTGAGCCCAGTTGTGAAGGTGGTCGATGTATAGATGCTCGAAAAGGGTTCATGGTGGAAAAAGTGGTGCGCTTGGTGATTGTGGTTATAGGCAAAAAAAAAACAAGTGGCGGAGATGCTTGTGGTTTAATGGTGGTTTCCAATCGGTGTTTCTTCTTGGTGATGGCGTCGATATCTCATAGCTTCAAGGAGGATGAATTTTCCCTCCCCCAACCATCCAAATGGAAGGTCTCCTGTGATTTCACTAATTTCACCTACAAGAAGCACCATTGATAGGAAGTTTATAACTCAAATTTTGTTAGGCAACAATATGAATAGTAGTATAAAATCTATTTTTGGTGCAATGGGTTTTTTTGGGTGTTGTTCCCTATTTGGTTCGGTTTTCATCGTATTTTGGTGTAGTTTGTATTTTTGTTTCTCGGATTATCTGTTGGTTCAGTTTTGGCTATTTTTTGGTGTGGTTTTATAATCGCACAATTAAATAAAAGTGTTTTTTGATGTGATATTTGTTGGTGCGGTTTGATATACATAACAATTAATCATTTTAACCGCATTAACAAATATTTTATGTACTAGTAGAATTTAAACACACAACACTCCATTTCCTTAGAGTCTATTACTTTCTTCCGAGCAATCCAAAATATTTTTTTTCATATTAGGTTTCTTTTCAATTTAAAAGAACGACAACCATCTCCAGTAATGAATTTACATGTATTTAGGCACTTATATGTTCGAACAAACAAAGGATCATAAGATCACTAACTACCTCTTGATGCTCAAATCGATTTGTTTACTTTGATTACTTGTAAGCCTAGCAAACGAGGAAAATATGAGTACAAAGTCCTGCTACTTTTGTGAGTTTTCTTTACGCTGTCGTGGATGCGAAAGACACGTTGGCCCATCTCGCATTTGATTACTTTGACCTTACTGGCAATACTATTAGATCATTAGGGCCCAATAGCACTTGAGAGCCATTGAAGGTCCCCTTATATGGAATTTGGATCATAGAAGGCCCAATAACATATAATCATTATCCCTTGGGCCCAAGGATCATGTTAATGGACTTGCAAGGTCCAACAAGCATGATTTGAAACTTATGTTTACTTGTCTTAGGTATCGCGTATCTACTGGAGAGTTCGATTTAACGATTGTTGTTTTGTATCGACTCGAGACCGATCGATTTGTTTATAATGATATTTAGAGTTATATGTGTATTTGTCTTTCGATTTTTGTAAACCGTAGATTAGTATTTTTGACTCAATATTCTATAAATAAAATAATTGGTTTAAAAATAGTGGTTTGACCCTTTTCAGCCCCTTTCTTTTTATAAAATAACAAATGTAGCCCTTAATATAAAAGAAAAGACATTTCAAACCTTTAACACATTTTCTTGACACTTTTGCATCATAAACTTGTTCAAATGATATTTTTAGCTCAAAGTTCATTTTTTTGGCAGTTTCAGTCCTTCCAGAAAAATGTTTTTTGGTTTAAGCCCAACTCTTTGGAATTTTTACACTTTTATCCTAAAATCCAAAAAACTTTACATTTTTTTATCCTTTTTGGAAATGAAAACCATTTTTAACCCTTGAAATAGTTTTGTTACATTTTTATCCCCTTTTTTGAAGAGTTTACTACTTCAGCCCTTTTAAATGTCATATTTTTGCAATTTTGGGCTTAATGGGTCGAAAGTCCAAAAATTTAGCCCATTAAGCTAATATTTACATTTTAAGTCCTTTGAAGATCATAATGTTCAGAAAAGAAATTATTGTAACTGTTTTGACCCTTTAGACCTTTAAGAAAACGTGAATTAGCAATTTTTAGCCCAACTTTTGTATATTTGACAATTTAAGCCCAAAAATGGGTTTTGTGGTGAAATATGTTTATCACAATCTTATAAGTTATTATTCTTGACTAATGTAGTGTAAGATAACTTAGATCATGTTTGATTTCTTGCTTAAGTCATATATCTCGAGATTTCTTCCCTTTTTGTTTACATATTCAACACAAAAACACATAAAGTCACACATACATGCCTAAAATCATACATAGCACACACATACACATAGACCTACACATTTTGCTTGTAGTCTCCCCCATAAAACTTATGAAAACCAAAAAGAGAGGGGTATGAAGCTCACCTTGAGTTGTGGGTTTGGTTTTTGAAGAGAGAATGAAGAAGATTCGATCCTAGCAAGTCTTCTTGGAGAATCTCGAACTTAGATGTTTCTAAGAGGGTGATCATGAGCTTGAATAGATTAGGAAGAGATTTTTGATAAAACAAAGAATCTAGATCATACATCCAATCATGAACTTACCTTAGATGATGTATTTGTGGAATAATCTCCTTGAAAAGCTTCCTAAATCTCGAAAATTTGACGAAGGATGAAGAGAGTTTCTTTGAGAGTGTTTGAGTGAAGTGTGTGCGTGTGTGTGTTTGTGTTGGTTTCGGACGAGAGAAAAAAGAGAGTGGTGATGAGATGGTTGCTTAGAAACATGAGTTGTATACATGGAGACCCAAAAAATAATGGTGAAGTGGCAATGTAAAGTCAACCCTTTCTCTTTTGGTGTAATTGGGCCGAGAAAGAGTAGGAAGAATAGAATGTTTGGGCCTTTTGTGTTTAAACCTATATTGTGGAGCCCAAGTTAATGATTTTCGGCCCATTGGCCCTTTTAGGATAATTCACGACCTAAAATTCATCAAAGTATGAGCTTTACAGCCCATTAGGGCTATTTAGTTTTGTTATGGCCCAATAAGGTCCATTAGTGTATTTTATTTCATTCTAGGCCCAATATAGCCCAAAATGTTAAAATGAATGAAAGTGGGTCCAAATTAAAGCCCATATAAGAGTTCTGAGCCCAAAGTAGTCAAATTGGAAGCTTATTGGTCCATTAGGTGCCATAAGGAATTTCTAGTCCAAAATGGACTTAAACCGGGATTTTTAGGGTTTCCAATCCTTTGTTGACTATTTTGATGTGCTTGTATAAAGTGTTTGATGGAAGTTTTGCTGTTATTGATTAAGCATCATATATGCTTTCACATTGTTGGTTCACATTTATTATCATTGTTCAATGTTTACAAAGCATCGAAATTCCTAGTTGTGACACAAGTGCATTTCACTCCCAAAACCGATGATTTTCCTTTCTCTCGTCGTTTGGGGTTGGATGGTGTGGCTTATGTTTCGCAAAAAACGTCGGGATCGCTTTGTGTAAACGGTTCGGGTTTGATTATCGATTCGGGATCGGGTTGTGTTTCCTGGACAAGTTCAACATCCGAAATGTATTCGGGAAGCGGAGAATTTTTTGAAAGATGGTTGGGATAAGAGGTTGCATCGGGTAATAGTGTTGGCAGTGAACTTATGTGACATCCCCAAAAATCACGGCCAGAAAAGACCGATTTTGTTTATGCTTTATAAAAAATCAGAGTACTTCATTTTATAAAAAGGTTGCGGAATTTGTTCCCAGAAAAACATGGTAAATACGTTATTAAAACATTTTCGAAGAAACGTATTTATTTCATTTTAAAACGTTTGGGATGTCATCGTTAATACAGGAACATAAGCATAAACAGAACTTACAATTATTCACACTAGTGGTCTACATCTCTTTAAATCTCTCAGTGTAATGTCACTTCATATCAACACCTGTGATATAAATAAACTGAGTGGGTCAGGTTGGGAAACCTGGTGAGCACATAGGGATTTCAATCCCACAATGTTATACCATATATATAGTTTAAAATTCACAAAATATACAATTTCACCATACATATATATATATATATATATATATATATATATATATATATATATATATATATATATATATAAACAACTCTTATCCCACCCCATCGATCCTCGCAACGAGGCTATCCATACTCTCGGACCTAAGATTAGTCGTTTTACCTCCTCCATACTCTCGGATCAGAAATGAACGAATTTACCAAATCCATACTCTCGGACTAGGGACGAATGACTAATCCATACTCTCGATTAAAGATGAATGATTATGCCTAATCCATACTCTCGGACTAGGGACAATAGCTAATCCATACTCTCGGATTAACGACGAATGATTATGCCTAATCCATATTCTCGGACTAGGGACAATGACTATGTCTAATCCATACTCCCGGATAAGTGACTTATACTAACTTCTATTCTCTGAGTTTTACTCACTTGTACTCGTAAGAATATACTACCCAATATTCCTCATTTTTAATTTAGGTCTACTCTTTATCCTAAATTATCAAATATAATCAGGTATGTTCTTTAACACGAATTTCAAGCAACATCAATTAACTCGCACATAAACATATAATTAATACTTCAATCAATACTTGTATTAAAATCATGTTCATGAAAGGGACTATGTATTAAAATCATGTTCATAAATAATATAATAAATACTTCATATCTATGTGTAAGATGAAAGGGACCATGCACTCACCTGAGAAGGTGGTGACTCGGTACTCGGACAACGCTTCGTTTACTTTAAAATAATTTCTTTCGACGAAACCTAGTATTATCACCAATAGATTTTAGTCTATTATTCGCCGAGACTAATTAATAGTCTAGCTATTATTACTATTATATAAGCGTTAAAAAAATACTTATATAACCCATAATAATAGCCCAAGTATTTATTATATGTTCTTAATAACGTTAATATAATTAAATAAAAACTATATTAAAAATAGCATAGGCGTAGCTCACTTACAGCGGGTTTTATAGAAAACCAGGCTTTGCTTGGAGCAGCGTTTCCGAGCCGAAAAGCTCTTCTTCTCAGAGCCGTCGAGCACTCCGGGGCTTCCGCCTCGTGCTAGGGAGGTTCCCTAGGCTTTTCGGGGGATTTCGGGGCTAGAGAGAGGTTCTAGAGAGAGAGTAAAGAGAAGAAAGAATGGGAAAGGTGTGAAGAAAATGAGGGTGGGAGAGGTGGTATTTATAGGGTGAAAATGGCTGAACTTGGTGCCACATGTCACCATCTAGTGGCAAGACTTGGGGAGAAAGCAATGGCCAAGATTGTGCCACATCACCCATTTTCGCACAACACACTTCCGACTTCTAAAATTCGTAACTTTCACATACGACCTCCGTTTTTGATGTTCTTTATATCCACGCGTAGGTAAAAATAATATCTACATCTTTCATTTTGACTCCGTCAGCTAATTCTAGACCGATCTTAAATTTAACAGTACGAGGCGTTTAGACTGTTAAATGACCGCGAAGAATTCGTAACTCCTTCATACGGACTCCGTTTTCGTCTGTCTTTTTACCGTTGAGTTCCTATTAATGATATATTCAACTCTCATTTATTTCACGTAAGCCAAAAACCGCTCGAACTAAGATTCGAGTTTCGGGCTGTACACTGCTAAGCCGAATCTTAGAAAAATCATAACTTCCTCATACGAAGTCAGATTTGGGCGTTCTTTTTATCGACGCTCTTAGTTTAACATATTCTACGACCTTTGTTTAGATTGCTAAGGCTAAAAAGTCTTCTATCGTAAATTCACTATTTACGTCTTCCGGTGCTGTGCCGGTTTTGCCGTAAAACTTCGGCGGGCCATAACTTCTTCGTTATAACTCGGATTTCGGCGTTCTTTATATGTACGGAAACCTTGTGACATATTCTAAAACTTGGTTAAGACTATTCATTCTAAATAATCTTTTGTCGAAAAGTCATTTTTGACCCCTATTGCCTCTAAATTGACTAGCCCGGATCTGCGGGCGTTACAACTTATTAGGCACAGGTTTGGAGTCGGGGTGAAATCATGGATGAATCAACCTGAGGTCAATAAACAACATATCCAACGGTCGAACATTGGACGTGATTTGCTCTGAGAGATAAAATGAAGATTGTTTTGGATTCATTTTTGAAAAAAAAAAGTTTGAAAAGTTATAGAACTAAGAGAGTTGTGTCTAATATGTGTGAGATATGGGCTAAATTTATAATTGGGTATTAAGAAAATAAAGATTTTTAAAAGTAACTGTTTGCCAAGTGGGGGAGAGAGAGAGAGAGAGAGAGAGAGAGAGAGAGAGAGAGAGAGAATGTGTGTGTATTTTGTGGTGTGATTGAAGGTTGCTAAAAAGATTAATCTTTAGAAACACATAAGTGCACTTTTGATGAAGATACTTGAAATATATCTCTTATTTTGGAATGATGTTTACAAGTTATAATGAGCAAGCAAAGATTTTGATGTGTACGTTTTCTTTTTCAGTACCAAGATTATATTAAGTAGATTATATTAAGTAGCTTCAAATACAATGTAATTAAAGTCAGCTTAAAAAGTGAACTTATATTGTGATTTCAAACATAAACTTCATTCTCTACATTATTTAAATAGTTATAAAAGCTTCTTGATTTAAAATTTTCATAGGGATTTTTCAAGAAATTACGACTTCTCTTCATTATGGGATTCTTGGCATCAGTTTCTAAAGCATTCAGTCCACCACCTCCGAAAATATGTGGATCTCCAGATGGTCCTCCAATCACATCACCCAGGATAAAGCTTCATGATGGAAGACATTTATCCTATACGGAACATGGTGTTTCAAAAGATTCAGCGAAATATAAGATAATATTCATTCATGGTTATAACAGTTGCAAAGAATATAATCCATTAGCCATTACAACCTCTTTGGTGTGAATCCTTCTCTTTTTGTGTGTTTATTTTGTTATTTATCTTGTCTTAATTAGGATTTATTTATTTTTAATCTTTGCAGGATCTTATCGAAAGTTTAAGGGTGTATATTGTTTCATTCGACCGACCTGGTTATGGAGAGAGTGATCCAAACCCAAATCGAACTCTAAAAAGTTTTGCTTCTGATGTAGAGGAGCTTGCTGATCAGCTTGAACTTGGATCAAAATTCTATTTAGTTGGATTCTCAATGGGTGGACAATTGGTTTGGTCTTGTCTCAAGTACATCCCTCAAAGGTGTAAACAAAATTTGTATAGATCTTGGATTTTCTTGGTCTATTCAAACAAAAAGTTAAAAAAATCAATTTTAATAAATAAATTTTTTTGCCACATATCACGTTTTGATTGATTTAGTCACATATCATTTTGTGGTTATTTTCAATTAAATTTTTTCACATAGCATTTTGTGGTTGTTTCATTTTTATTAAATTTCACATAATTTTTAATCAAATGATTGCAATAAATATAGTAATAATGCATTTCAATTTTATTAATTGACATTCCTTTTAATTTCAAACTTTATAAATTAAAGTCATTAGTTTCATTTTTTTATTTATCTAAATTATTTGTTTAAATTTAAAAGAGAAAAAAACACTTTAATTTTAATAATTCAATACTTTTAAAAAATTTCTTATAAATTCAAACTACTCAAATCTACTATAATATATGAAAATCTTTTTGTTAAATATCACACTTTTATAGATTTGACCACATATCATTTTACGTTTATTTTCAATTAAATTTTTTCCACATGATATTTTGTGGTTGCTTCATTTTTATTAAATTTCACATAATATTTAATTAAATGTATTAATTGCAATAAGTGTATAATAATAAATGCATTTCAACTTCATTAATTAACTTTCTTTTTAATTTCAAAATTTATAAATTAAAACTCATTAGTTTCATTTGTTTATTTATCTAAATTATTTGTTTAAATTTAAAAGAGAAAAAACACTTTAATTTTAATAATTCAATATTTTTTTAATTTTTTTTATAAATTCAAAGTTCTTAAATATTTAGAAATCATATTTATTTTTTTAAATAAAATCATATAATACATAAATGTTACACCTAATAAATAAATAAATAACAAAAAGATACTCTACTTTGGAAGTTGTAATCAATTGAAAAAAAAAAAAAAAAAACCTTTTTCTTATTTAACGGTTGAGAGTTTGATTTCACTCCATTACACTATTATAGTTTAGAATTCGTTAGATTTCACTGTAAGAAAGTTTTCTATAATTTAACCATAAAAAGGTGATTTAAGAACAACACTTATAGTTAGAAATCTATTTCTCGTCAGTTTTTGCAATTTATTCCTGAAAAACCTTAACATTTTTTTTTTTGAAATATCATTTTAGTTCTTAAACCACAAAATATACATTTGAAAGGGTATAATAAAAAATTAAATAAAATAAAATAAAAAAGAAAGAAAAGCAACGGGCATTTGACATAGAAAGTGCCGGAAATGTGCCCATCGGTCTATAAAATGACCGTTAAAGGCTTGTGTGTGTTAAATATAAAATTTAAGAGTATAATATGTTATAAAATAAAAAACAAACTATTATTATTATTATTATTATTATTATTATTATTATTATTATTATTATTATTATTATTATTTGAATCTATTGAAAAATTCTTATGTTTAAGTTTTACAATTAATTTAGACATTATTTTTTAGTCAATTAAGTCATAAAAACAAAAAAATTACATTCATTTTAACTGTTTTACCAAATTAACATTCATTCTACTTTGAAAACTTATACTTTTTGACTAATATATTAAATTTTATTATCAATTTGATCTAAAATTTATACTTTTGATTTAGATTTTCAATTTTGTAACAAAATTTACACTTTTGCATAAATTTCAATAGTTTGTTAAAAATTCATCCTAAATTTAGATTTTTTATATTTTCCTTTTTAAAAATTTTGTTTCGAATATGACTTTTTTTTTACTTTATAAAATCATATTGAGATAGAAAACATACTTTCACGTAAAAAAACTTCTTATTTCTTTATAATTTTTTAAAAACATTTTTTATGTGAAATATGTATATATAGAATTGTAACAACGGGAATTTTCAAAACAATTTTTTCATTTTTCAAATAACATAAAACTCATTCAATATTCTCAAATTCTCAAGTTTAACAAATGTCATCATGGAAAACATATCCCAATATCATACAATAAATCTCCTGCCAGTGTGTACGAATAATGTCTGCATCTTCCCGCAATCATCGCTAGTACCTAAAACGCATAACACATAACATTGTAAGCATAAATGCTTAGTGAGTTCCCCAAAATGCCACATGCAACACATACGCCACTCCAGGCCATAACTCTATGAGATATTTCGATCCATGTGTCTCAGGGGACTTCCATCCCAACTCTAGTAGACCTTCCGACCCTACCCGTATGACCTTCCGGTCCTTATCATCTTGACCTTCCGGTCCATACATTGTTGACCTTACGGTCCATATCATGGTACTCATAACATAGCATAACACATACATATCACATAGCAACACATATCACATACTCCGCATAACATATAAGACCTTCCAGTCACACATAGTTACCACTCTAGGTAAAGTATAGTGAGAAGACTCACCTCGTATGCTATCTAGTAACTCACGTGCTCGGTATCCCTAAACCTCGTAACAATGACCTAGCCCCGCTTAAACATATAAGCATTCATCTCAAATCAATAACCGCTCTCTAGGCTAGACTAGTTTGTTCCAATGTTCTCTCAGAAGGCTAAATGTAACACCCCAAAATACGAGCCAAAAATTTCATTTTTGAAAACATATGTTTAGCAAAACATTCGAATTAAAACATTTACTGATCATAATATTTTAAAAAGATATCGCATGTCAGGAAAACATTTCATAAAACATAATAATGTCAGAGTACAAATCCCCAGGAAGTTCTCATGATGCGGAATACGAAGCATGTGTGTGATGGGCCGCTGCTGCGCCAGCTCCTTCCTCTTCGAAGAAGAGGTACCTGAAACTAAAACTGAAAACTATAAGCACGAAGCTTAGTGAGTTCCCCCAACCTACCACATACCATACAATCACATAACATGCATATATCGTCAGGCATATCTGGGTGCCCGACCTACCCCTTCGGTCCTCTCGACCGGATACTATCTAGCATAACTGGGAGCTTGCCTCCCTTCGGTCCTCTCGACCGGATACTGACTAGCATATCTGGGTGCTGGTCTCCCCTTCGGTCCTCTCGATCCGGATACTTGGGACTACTTTCACCCCTACTACTACCACATAACACATATATCTCTAATCTATCTAGCATGGCTGGGCATGACCGCCCTTCGGCCCTATCGACCGGTAATCTGGGGACTATCTCCCCTACTATACTAGCACATAGCAGCATATCATACTAGCACATAAACATATCACAGTAGTAGCAACCTTAGATTAATATCACAGAGACAATCATCCATCATACAACTCCTACTGGTGGGCCGGCATTGTGGCCGTAGACCCACCGCTACTGGAAGGTAACTCACCTCGTAGTAGCTGCTGATCTGTGTGGGAATAGTCTGTCTATTGCTGCTGCTCCGAAAATCCTCCAACTGTCATTCCCACCAAACACTTAGTCAAATACTTCTAACCGCCTTCAGGGTAAATTGCCCATTTACCCTTAACAAGTCATGAGTCAAGTCACAGTCAACTGCTAGTTGACCAGACTCACTGAGTTGGCTTGCCAACTCGCCGAGTCCCTTTCTCTATACCCAAGTCCAATAGTCCTTCATCCTACTCACCGAGTTGTATGAAAACTCACCGAGTTCATCTTCATACGAAGAACACTCTAAGCTGTGACTCGCCGAGTTGTATGAACAACTCGTCGAGTTCTTCTTGAGACAAGAAGATTACCATGAACTCGCCGAGTCATGGCATTGACTTGCCGAGTCATGGCATTGACTCGCCGAGTTACTTCATGAGTGAGTCTGGCTTCCAACTCACTGAGTCATACCCTATGACTCACTACTCCAACTCGCAGACACAAAAAGGGGAACAACCCTGGGACTCGCAACCCGACTCACCGAGTCAGATGAACGACTCGCCAAGTCGGCTACATGCAAAAACCATACATGCGATTTTGCTTATCCAGCTCATGTCATTCATAGATCTGGGTTCCTAGGGCCTGGTTTACACGTAAAGTTTCCAACTTTACGTGTAGAATGCATAGAATGGGGATTAGGGGCGAAATAATGGCTAAGAAGGTAGATCTAGGACATTCTAGCAATTTACTCCCATAAATTATAGATCTGAGCTTCTGGAGCTCAAACATGACTAGTTCTAGCGGATACTCAACCTATTACGAATTCTACTTCATGCACAAGCTTGGAAAAGGTTCAAGAAGAGCTCAAAAGGTGCTCTAATGGGGTTTTAAGCATGCAAACAGAATAGAGTAGAGATATACCTCAAAGAACTCTGAAATAGCACCAAGATATTTGGTCTCCTTCTCCACTTCTTGCTCCACTCTCCTTCTTCTCCCAAAAACTTCAAGGAATCACTCTAATCACTTCAATCTCACAAGAAACGAGTTAAGGTTTGATGTAGGGCACTATGAGGGTGAAAGGGGGCGAGCTTGGGTCGCACAAGCTAGCTTAAATAGGGGGCAAATCCTTGGAATTAGGGTTTCATCAAACAGCGGTGACTCGCCGAGTCGCCAACTTAAGCGTGCCCCCGGACCGCATCCCTACTCGGCAAGTCGGACCAACAAGTCGCCGAGTCCAAGGCTAAAATGACAATTACTTAGATAAATTTTTTATGTACCAGGAACTAGGTGCTACAAATCTCCCCTACTTATTTTAGACTTCGCCCTCGAAGTCTGCCGCTCGATCCTAAAACAGCTCGGGGTAATGCTCCATCATTTCTTCCACCGGCTCCCAAGTCCATTCTGAACCCTTGTGGTGCTGCCATTGCACTTTCACTAGCTCCACCCTCTTGTTCCTTAGATCCTTCGACTTCCGGTCGAGGATTGCGACTGGGCGCTCAATGTAATTCAGGCTGTCATCAACCTGTATATCCTCTAATTGCACCACTGCTGAATCATCCACGAGACACTTTCGCAGCTGGGAGAGATGGAAGGTGCTGTGGATCTGGCTGAGCTCGACTGACAGATCCAGCCTATATGCCACCTTTGCCACCCAGGCTACAACCCTGAACAGTCCAATGAATCTCGGGCCCAACTTGCCTCACTTCCTGACTCGAATGACGCCTTTCCAAGCGACACCTTCAGGAGAACCATATCCCTAACCTGGAACTCCAGGTCTGATCGACGCTTGTCGGTGGAACTTTTCTGCCGACTCTGTGCAGTCTGAAGCCTGCTCCGAACCTGCTGGATTCTCTCGGTCGTCTTGAGCACCACCTCGGTGCTCCTCATGACCCTCTGGCCAACTTCACCCCAACATATCGGGGTCCTGCACCTCCGACCGTACAACATCTCGAATGGGGGACGGTCAATACTCGTGTGGTAGTTGTTGTTGTACGAGAGCTTAGCCAAGGGAAGATAGGTATCCCAGCTACCACCGAAATATAATATGCACGCCCGCAACATATCCTCCAAAGTCTGGATGGTCCGTTCACTCTGACCATCCGTCTTCGGGTGAAAGGCGGTGCTAAAATGCAGACGAGTGCCCAACTCATCATGAAACCTCTTCCAAAACCTGGAAGTGAACCGCACATCTCGATCTGATATCACTGACACTGGCACCCTGTGCCACGCCACTATCTCCCTGATATAGATATCGGCCAACTTTTCGGCCGAGATACTCTCCGGAATCGGAATCTAGTCCTCGCACCGTTCATGGAAGCGTACCATGCCACATCCCGCTTCATGCAGGGCCACCAATAGTCCAGGCGAAGATCCCGATACACCTTCGTCGCCCCTGGATGAATAGAGAATCGGGATTTGTGCGCCTCCTCCATCAAGATCTGGCGCACGCCTCCATGACATGGCATCCACACCCTACGGTGTAGTATCAATAACCCCCGTCTATCATAGTCGAAGGAGGTGACTTGTCCCACTATTCGCTCACTCTTCCAATCCTCCTCCTTCATAGCCTCCTGTTGAGCCTCCCGAATCTGCTCCAACAGGGGAGTCACCACAGTCATCCTCATGCAAACATTCCTGATTGGCGCCGCCTTGCGGCTAAGCGCATCGGCCACCACATTGGCCTTCCTCGGGTGGTAAAGGATCTCGCAATCATAATCCTTCACCACGTCCAACCACCGACGTTGTCTCATGTTCAGATTCGGCTGATCCATGAGGTACCTCAAACTCTTGTCGTCCGTGTAAATGGTACATCGAACCCTGTAGAGGTAATGTCGCCATATCTTGAGGGCGAAGACCACCGCCCCCAACTCCAAATCATGCGTCGGGTAGTTCGCCTCGTGAGGTTTCAGCTGCCTCGAGGCATAAGCAATGACATGCCCCCTCTGCATCAACACTGCACCTAAGCTTGAGATCGACGCATCGCAATATACCACAAAATCCTCCATGCCCTTGGGGCAGGGCTAGGATCGGCGCCTCGCACAATCTCTGCCTCAGAGTCTCAAATGCTGCCTGCTGCTCAGGCCCCCATCAAAAGACCACGACTTTCCTAGTCAACCGTGTCAGGGGTACGACTATCTTGGAGAAATCCCGAATGAACCTCCGATAGTAGCCTGCTAATCCTAGGACACTCTGAATCTCAGATGGAGACTTTGGAACCTCCCACCTCATCATGGCCTCCACCTTGGACGGGTCTACTGAAATCCCGTTCTAGTTGAGGAGGTGCCCAAGAAACTGCACCTCACGTAACCAAAAATCACATTTGGAGAACTTGGCATACAAGCTCTCCCTCCTCAGGGTCTCCAAAACCTCCTTCAGATTCTCCTCATGCTCCTCCTGAGTCTTGGAATAAACCAAGATGTCATCAATGAAAACTATCACAGACCGATCCAACATTGGTCTACACACGCGGTTCATGAGGTCCATGAACGCGGCAGGAGCATTGGTGAGCCCAAACGGCATCACCACGAACTCATAATGGCCATAACGCGTCGGAAACGCGGTCTTCTGAATATCCTGCTCTCTAGCCTCATCTGATGATAGCCTAAACGCAAATCGATCTTGGAAAACCAAGATGCTCCCTACAACTGATCGAATAGGTCATCAATCCTCGGGAGTGGGTAACGGTTCTTCACCGTTACCTTATTCAGCTCCTGATAATCTATACACATCCAATGCGACCCGTCCTTCTTCCTCACAAATAGGATCGGGGATCCCCAGGGTGAACTGCTCGTCGAATAAACCCCTTGTCTAGCAGCTCCTGCAGCTGCGTAGACAACTCCTACATCTCGGGAGGAGCCAACCGATAGGGTGCCTTGGCTATTGGAGCTGCACCAGGAACTAGATCGATCCTAAACTCCACCTGACGTTCCGGAGGTATTCCAGGAAGCTCCTCCGGGAACACATCAGCGTAGCCTCGCACCACTGGAACCTCGCTCATCATTGCCTTACCCGTCTCCCGGGTATCCATAACATACACGACATACCCCGCGCATCCCTGCTGAAGGTAGCGCTTAGCTCTCGCTGGTGAACATACTATAGGTCCACGCTGTGGCCTCTCGCCGTGGATAACCAACTCTCCCCCGCTTGGGGTCCTGACCCGCACTAGCTGATGTGCGCAATCTATCACCACCCCATTAGGGCTCAACCAATCCATGCCTATAATCACCTTGTTCCCCCGCAACGGTATGGGAATCAAATCCACCAAATAGCGCTCCTCAAATAACCTCAAAACACAATCCTTGAACACTACAGATGCTCGCACCGATCGATCATCGGTAATCTCTACCTCTAAAAGGAAATCCAACATGCCTGAGGACTCAGTAAACCTCTTGCTAAGCGCAAGGGAAAC